TGAGTGTGAGTGCTACACTCATCCTGGGACAGATAATCTGCATACCAGTGTATGGAGGGGATAATGTGCATACAAGTGTATGGAGGGGAGAGAGGCTTGCTAGTGCCACAGCTGCTGCTTCTCTCTTGCTCTTTTTCTGTTTTCCACCACCACGATCAGCTGTCCTCTGCCATGAGCCACCTTGCCTTGGAGCCAGCCACGTAAGGACTGCAACCTCCATAACTGTGAGCTGAATAACCCTTTCCTTCCTTAACTCTGGGTGTTGTGTATTTTGTCCCAACAATGAGGAAAAAGTAGCTACAACACTTGGGAAACTCCCCATATATGGAGTATTCTGGAGCACAGGAAGAACTTGAAGAATACCCTAAATAAGAAACCAGCATAATGTGTTATTCCTCAAAGGACAGAATAGATTGATATAAACTGAAAGGGTGAAGTCCATCCCTCGAAACCAAAAATTTCTTGTTTTCCTTGAAAGCAAAGTTCCAGTGAATTTGATGCACTTATTCTAGAAGAAAATAATAAAACTACCTTTAAAGGAGAAGCAAGAAAAATAACGCAAATACAGGTCCCTTAACAAGAATAGCTGTTGGTCTGGGTGTGGTGGTGCATGCTTGTAATCCCAGCACTTGGGAAGCTTAAGACAGGAGGATCACTATGAGTCCAGTCTGTGCGGTGAGAACCTGTAGACCCTGTACTAAATACAGAGCAAAAGGAACAGCTATTAATTTTCTATTACTGTTGTAACAGCTCACCTCAAACATAGTGTCTTACAAATACACAAACATCACCTTACGTATGTGTAAGTTACAAGCACAACATAGATCTCATGGGGCTCACACCAAGACACACAGAAAGACTCTGTCCTTTTACAGAGATTCTGGTGGAGAATTGGGGGAGGGCTTTTACACTTCCCAATGTAGTGACAGTGAACTTTTAAAAGCTTTCAATAATAACAGCCAGCTGGGGCTCGTGTGCTGTAGGTTCGCCACTCTTGCTCCAGAGAATGTATACATTCCTACAGTCATGTTTCCCTGCCTCCACTTGACAAGTGAGCAGTATTGCATCTCTCTAGCCCCTGCTCATAACTCACACCTCTCTCTCTCTCTTTTCCTGCTTTCTTTCTATTTGAAAAGACACTTATGTTTACACTGGATTTGTCTAGATAATTCAGAAAAATCTCTCTAACATATAGCCTTTGGATAAGCCACCTTAATTCCATATGAAAAGATAACTTCTAGCCCTAACCTAACTAATTTAAAAACTTGAGAGATTAAAATATGAACATTTTTGAAGACTGGGTAGATAGCTCTGCAGCCTCAGTGCCTGGCTGGTAAATGTAAGGTCCCAAGTTCAACCCCTGGGACCTCATGCTGAGCCAGCCCCCAAATTCCACATGCACCATGCAAGCCTCAAGACCAGGAATGGTGGCATATGCTTATAGTCCCAGTGCTGGTGAGCCTGAGACAGGAGGATCACTATGAGTCCAAACTGCATAGCAAGACCTTGTATCGTTTTTTTAAAAAAAGAATATGAACATTGTTGGGTGGGAGGTTTATTCTGCCAGTCACAGTATTTTTTGGCTCTTTGACTCTTCATGCTGTCAAATTCATTGACAAAAAAAGTAAAGTACTTAACTAGAAATGATGATTAATCCTTTTTTTTCAAGAGGGAATTGAAAATAGACTCAGGAATGAAAGGATTGAGAACTTGGAACTTGCAGTCAAGATGAGTGAAGAAGAGAAAAATGGAATTGAAAACATACACACAATCACCTAGACATTTTAAGCATCTTGAAGGAAGTGTCATATCCTGTCTGCATCAGGAGCACACTAAGACAGAACTGAATGAGAAAAAATGCCTCCTAGCTTTCCTCTAGCTTGTCTGTTTGCTTTCAGAAAAAAAAATAAAATAAAAGCAAAAGCAAGTATGACTGTGGGAAGTGAAGGCACTGCTATCAGTCAGGTCATCTCAAAGTTCCTGGACAATCACTAAGCTCTATAGAGCTACACTGATGGAATTTATTCAATTCTTTACAGTCAATGTCTATTAAAATTGTCAAGATTGATTTTAATACACAAAGTCATACAAATCCAAGACAAATTAGCTTTAAAACTGTACTCCTGTCCACTGTTGAGGAAAATAAAGATGCCAAGTTATTCAAAGTAACTGATTTTTTTTAATGCATTTGGTACAGGGTCTTAGTAAGCAACTGAGACTCTTACTGGTCCTCCTATTTCAAACTGTTCCAGTTTCAAACTGTCCCAGCTGGAATTACATGCAAGCACCACCATGTCCACTCTCAGTAGCCAGCTCAACATGCCTGGGGGTGGCACCAGAGCAGCACATGGTGGTGGGGATCAAACCCTGGCCCCTGAGCTTACCAAGCAAGTGCTAAGCCCACTGAACTATAGTGCTGGCCCTTCACTGATCTTTTCAGCAGGAATCATCCATGTAGGAGCTGTTTCCCGAATACTAGCCATGGTATTGCAGCCCAGTAAGTGGACTGGTTGTTGAATTTGTCTACTGTTCCGATACCTGCAGGGGGAATGACTAAATGAGGTTTTAAGTAAAGTGGTGACTTGAATGGTCCAAATTCTCTATTACAATAATAATATATGACAAGTTTTTCCTGTTGGCCAACTTGTTTCTCACCATAGGGACCCCAATTAGAAATATGGTCTTGGTTCTCACATGACAGCATCATTGTCTTCTTGCATCGCCCTTATTTGACTGCTGTGATGGCTGTTGTACTTCCTGTACTCAAATACCATCCCAAGACCAACATATGGTGCAAGGATGCAACTCTACTGCATTCCCTGTTCTATGTTTTCATGATTGAATGTTTGAAACCTTTTACTAAGAGAAGAAATGTCAAATGTGTTAATATTTAAGGATTGTAAAAAAAAAATTTAGGGATTATGTATTCCCACAACATAATGCTGTCTATCATAAGCAGTGTAGACCTTATCCACAGGAGAAAAATGATTGTAAATGAATCAGAAAAATAAAAATGACTTAGGATTATTCCAAGCCCAATGTGTTGTAAGATCTTTCCAAGCAAAGCCTCAAAATGCTTCTGAGTTTAACAAAACACCTGCTAAAACTACATAAAGATTTTCAACATATTTCAAAAAAGTTGAAATAGCTAAAACAAGTAAACCAAAATCTTGATAACTTTAAAATCCATATAACAGCTATTCCCTCTATTTTTAAATATATTTGAAATTTTTTATAAAAGGAAATTGAAGGTGATTCTTCAAAAAAGACTGAAATAAAACTAGTTTGTAGTGAAGACATGGTATGTATGTTTTGATTGGCATGACAACAATGGTAGTCATGGTGATGGACTCTACAGTGCAGAAGCAGAGCTGTCCAAAGTTATCTCACTGTTGCTGTACAAACTTGCTACAAGGACCACATGCCTACTTTGTCTTTTATTGGCCTATGTAGGAAGTCTTTGAACATTATCTATCATTTGATATATACTTAGTGATTTGGAAAGTTGATATTGCAACTCAGTAGTTATTCTGATGACAAGAAAGGTTTATTGTCTTTTTAAATGAATATGCTGATGCAAATTATTGTGAAAGAAGACTTGGCCATAGAATAAAGATTAGAACAGTGATGAAATACTTTTTAGGACTTCATATTTAACACATTGGAGACTAGCTATGAACAAGGCCCAGCCTTTCCCTTATAACATATGTGAACTGAGTTACAACACTACCCCACAAACAAGAATAATACTTACATGGTCATTAAAATAAGATTTTCTAGTTAAAAAGAATTATCATTCCAGTGATAGCATCTTCTACAATTTAAGGAAAATGGTCTAACTTCATTAAGACACAGTTTCTCAAAAATGAGGCTGGTGCTGGCTATTTTATAGTATTATGGATATAAAAGTGATATAGTATGAAGCACATAACACAGACCTTGCAACATATCTAAATTATTTTTACTTTTTAAATTATAGATCATTCTTTTTTAAGGTTTGTTAGCATAAAGAACAATTTTTAATCTGTCTACTTGATTTCATGAATTCAACATGGGTTGAAATGACAAGATGAAATCTATAGGCCAGCAAGCTTAGAAATGATGTTTTTCTTAGACTCTATCCAAATTTACACTCTAGAAGCTTCTAGAGAAGCACCATACACTTTACGCTAATCGATTGCCTCACTATCTAGGCTATTTATCTATTTTCTGTTTTTCTGAAAGATCTCTGCTGGAACATTATATGAAGGCTTTCATTTTTGCAAAATTGTTGGAGGATTTATTTGACATTGGGATGTAGTAATTGTCTTCCATAAGCACTAGTTTCTGTTGTTAGATTCAAAATAAATTTTCCATATGAATGTAAAAATCAGGACAAACATTAGAATAATGATTAATGAAAGGCTTTTTTAAATTTTGTCAAGTATTTGAGTATTTGGATGTACCCAAATGACTGATAGATGCTTTCAAACTTCTTCTCGTTTATTTCACATAAATCTTATTTTATATTAAGTAAAATATCCCTAAGATATTTTTTAGATGTCCATAAAAATAGTATTATATTTTGTTTGGCTTTGTTTATTTGGTAAAATTATATTCAAAATTTCTTTCTAAGTATATTGACGGGGTCAAAACCTGAATTGTGTTTTTTGCCATTCTCTTTAAGATAGCAGATACAAATGTATAGTTATTTAAATCCATATCAATTGATTATGAAGTTAAAATAAATGTGTCATTAGAAACCTTACCATCACCGTTAGAATCAGAGTTTCAGGATACTGGTACATTACCACAAAGCTTTAAGATATTCATTGTTAGTATTGATAATTGTGAAAAATCAAAAGAACCCAAGTATTCATCAATCAGTGAAGAATTACGATATACTTATACTGTAGGAGAAGACATTTTAACCCTTAAACTTCTATATTTACATATTTATTTGGTTTTGTAACTTTGTTTAATAAGAGATAATTAACATTTTAAAATTATATCTGCTCTCTCTCACGCCTAGCGCAATGGTGACGGCCGCGGCGGAGCAGCAACAGTTCTACCTGCTCCTGGGGAACCTGCTCAGCCCCGACAATGTGGTCCGGAAACAGGCAGAGGAAACCTATGAGAATATCTCAGGCCAGTCCAAGATCACATTCCTCTTACAAGCCATCAGGAACACAACAGCTGCTGAGGAGGCGAGACAAATGGCTGCTGTTCTCCTCCGGCGCCTTTTGTCCTCTGCATTCGATGAAGTCTACCCAGCTCTTCCCTCGGACGTGCAGACTGCCATCAAGAGTGAACTGCTAGTGATTATCCAGATGGAAACACAGTCCAGCATGAGGAAGAAAATTTGTGACATTGCTGCAGAGCTGGCCAGGAATTTAACAGATGAGGATGGCAACAACCAGTGGCCTGAAGGTTTGAAGTTTCTTTTTGATTTGGTCAGCTCTCAAAACATGGGATTGCGAGAAGCCGTGCTTCACATATTCTGGAACTTTCCTGGAATTTTTGGAAACCAACAGCAGCACTATTTAGATGTCATCAAAAGGATGTTAGCTCAGTGTATGCAAGATCAGGAACATCCATCGATCAGGACATTATCTGCGAGAGCCACAGCCGCGTTCATCCTCGCAAATGAGCATAAGGTTGCCCTGTTCAAACATTTTTCAGACTTGTTACCTGGATTCTTACAGGCTGTAAATGACTCATGCTACCAGAATGATGATTCGGTCCTAAAATCCCTCGTTGAAATCGCAGATACTGTTCCAAAGTACTTGCGTCCTCACTTGGAGGCAACTCTGCAGCTAAGTCTCAAGTTGTGTGGAGACACCAGCCTTAACAACATGCAGCGCCAGCTTGCCCTGGAAGTGATCGTGACCCTCTCTGAGACTGCCGCAGCCATGTTAAGAAAGCATACCAACATCGTGGCGCAGACCATTCCTCAGATGTTAGCAATGATGGTTGATCTGGAAGAGGACGAGGACTGGGCCAATGCGGATGAACTAGAAGATGATGATTTTGATAGCAATGCCATGGCTGGGGAGAGCACTCTAGACCGCATGGCCTGTGCACTCTGCAGGAAGCTTGTCCTGCCAATGATCAAGGAGCACATCATGCAGATGCTTCAAAACCCTGACTGGAAATACCGGCATGCAGGATTGATGGCCTTATCTGCCATTGGCGAAGGATGCCACCAGCAAATGGAAGGAATTCTGAATGAGATAGTCAATTTTGTTTTGCTTTTCCTTCAGGATCCTCATCCAAGAGTAAGGTATGCGGCCTGCAATGCTGTGAGGCAGATGGCTACCGATTTTGCACCTCGTTTCCAGAAGAAATTTCATGAGAAGGTGATTGCAGCCCTGCTGCAGACCATGGAAGACCAAGGCAACCAGCGGGTGCAGGCCCATGCTGCCGCCGCTCTCATTAACTTCACTGAGGACTGCCCCAAGTCGCTGCTCATCCCCTACCTGGATAACTTCATGAAGCATCTGCATTCCATCATGGTGCTGAAGCTTCAGGAGTTGATTCAGAAAGGTACCAAATTAGTTTTGGAACAAGTCGTGACGTCCATTGCATCAGTTGCAGATACTGCAGAGGAAAAGTTTGTCCCCTACTATGATTTGTTTATGCCATCACTTAAGCACATTGTTGAGAATGCAGTTCAGAAGGAGCTCAGGCTTCTGAGAGGAAAGACTATTGAATGTATCAGCCTCATCGGTCTGGCAGTTGGGAAAGAAAAGTTCATGCAGGACGCGTCCGACATGATGCAGCTGTTACTGAAGACCCAGACAGACTTCAATGACATGGAGGATGATGACCCACAGATCTCTTACATGATCTCAGCCTGGGCAAGAATGTGCAAAATCCTTGGGAAAGAATTTCAGCAGTACCTTCCGGTGGTTATGGGGCCTTTAATGAAAACAGCTTCAATCAAGCCAGAAGTAGCCCTCTTAGACACCCAAGACATGGAGAACATGAGTGATGACGACGGCTGGGAATTTGTGAACCTTGGAGACCAACAGAGTTTTGGTATTAAAACTGCAGGACTGGAAGAAAAATCAACCGCTTGTCAGATGTTGGTTTGCTATGCTAAGGAATTAAAGGAAGGTTTTGTGGAATACACCGAACAGGTCGTCAAACTGATGGTCCCTTTAATGAAATTTTACTTTCATGATGGTGTCCGAGTGGCCGCGGCGGAGTCCATGCCTCTTCTCCTGGAGTGTGCGAGAGTCCGGGGTCCTGAGTACCTCACGCAGATGTGGCATTTCATGTGTGATGCACTGATCAAGGCCATTGGCATGGAACCAGACTCGGATGTCCTCTCGGAGATCATGCACTCATTCGCAAAGTGCATTGAAGTAATGGGTGATGGGTGCTTTAATAACGAACATTTCGAGGAACTGGGAGGTATATTGAAAGCCAAACTTGAAGAACATTTTAAAAATCAAGAATTGCGGCAAGTGAAAAGACAAGATGAAGACTATGATGAGCAGGTTGAAGAATCCCTGCAAGATGAGGATGAAAATGATGTTTATATACTGACCAAAGTGTCAGATATTTTACACTCAATATTCAGCAGCTACAAGGAAAAAGTGTTACCGTGGTTTGAGCAGCTGCTTCCTTTGATTGTCAACCTAATTTGTCCACACAGACCATGGCCGGACAGACAGTGGGGGCTGTGCATCTTCGATGATGTCATAGAGCACTGTAGTCCAGCCTCATTTAAGTATGCAGAGTACTTCTTAAGGTCCATGCTCCAGTACGTGTGTGACAACAGCCCAGAGGTCAGGCAGGCAGCTGCATACGGCCTGGGAATCATGGCGCAGTTTGGCGGCGACAACTACCACCCCTTCTGTACAGAAGCTCTTCCACTGCTTGTTAGAGTTATTCAGTCTGGAGATTCTAAGACCAAAGAAAACGTCAATGCTATGGAGAACTGCATCTCAGCAGTAGGGAAAATCATGAAGTTCAAGCCTGACTGCATAAATGTGGAGGAGATCCTGCCGCACTGGCTGTCGTGGCTTCCGCTCCACGAAGACAAAGAAGAAGCAGTTCAGACTTTTAGCTATCTCTGTGACCTGATTGAAAGCAATCACCCAATTGTTCTTGGCCCAAACAATACCAATCTGCCCAAAATATTCAGTATAATTGCAGAAGGAGAAATGCATGAGGCCATTAAACATGAAGACCCATGTGCCAAACGTTTGGCTAATGTCGTTCGCCAGGTACAGACTTCTGGACGACTGTGGACTGAATGCCTCTCTCAGCTCAGTCCCGAGCAGTGGGCGGCCATACATGAGCTCCTGAACTCTGCTTGAAGGCCTTAATATCACCCACCAGAAAACTAACTCCAAATAAATGTTTACCCTTTAAAAAAAAAATTATATCTATTTCATGCATATATTTTGATGAGTTTGGACATGCATATATCTACTAACTAAACCATCACCATAATTAGGTTCTAAACATATGCATCACCTCAAAACAGTTTAGTTTCTTTGTTGTTGCTAAGATCACTTCATTAAGATCTGTCCTCTTGTATTTTGAAATACACAATACCATATTGTTAATGACAGCTTCTGTGTTGTACAGATTTCCGGGACTTACTCACCTCACATAAATGAAACTTTGCACCACTAACCAACAGCTCCCTGCAGACACTAGCCCTGCATCAGCCCTGGGCACACCATGCTATTCTCTGAATTGGATAGTTGAGAGACGTCATGGGGTATTATGTCCTCTAGCTTCATCTAGATCGCTGCAAAACATACAGTGTCCTTCTTAAAAGCTTACCAACATTTGCTGTAGATTTGTAACACATTGTCTTCCCATTCATTTGTCATCTCTTTCTTGACTTGTAAATAACACTAAGATGAGTATGAGAGGATGAGAACTCTTACTTGAGACTCTGATTTTTAATTCATTTTGATGCATACTTTCATGGTTTTCATGCTGAATGTAACTCAGACATCCTTGTTAAAAACTTGGTCTCTGGGGGGCACTAATGGGGGTGGACTCTAAAGAAGACAGAGACTTCTGAGGGTCTGAGGTCATTAATCTGACTCCTCAGTGATCCCTGACTGACAGTGTGCTGACGTAAGACAACCTGGACACAAGATCGCTTCACTAGATAGGAAACTGATCTTCACAAGGCCATTCCTAGAAAATGACACTAAGCTGTGTTTTGTGGTTGGTACAATGTAAAAGATTAAAAATATATAATCAATGCTGCTCAAAATAATTTCGGTTTTAGCACTATGAAATAAAATCTAAGTAACAAAATCTTCACATAAAATATTAAACTTTTTTCTTCTAAAAAATGAAAGATTTAAAAGCTACTGGTGGTGGGCCGCTTTGTGGGGAGTACTCACAGACCAGGGTATTTGTTCCACACTACACTGCCAGTTGTCTCATTCAATCTCAGCCTCTGTGGGGAATAAGTTAGACTTTTAAACTCTGCTTTGTAACTTCTTTATAAAACCTCTGTTAATATATATTTTTAATTTAATATGTATAATATATATTCAATATTTATTATATATTTAATATATATTTAAATTAAAATATTTAATTAATCATTTAAATTATTATTTAAAATATTTAATATATTAATATTAAATATTTTAAATAATAAAATATTAAATTAAATATTTAATATATTAATATTAAATATTTTAAATAATAAAATATTAAATTAAATATTTAATATATTAATATTTATATATTAAGGTACGATGTGCATATATTATATATGTATATATTTAATATATACATATTAAATATATATTTAATTTAGTATCTCTCACTTGGCCCATAAACCCCACCCTGGTATTTCTTTGTAAAAACAGAGAATTAGAAATAATAGAAGCCTACATCAACAGAAAAATCGCAAAATAAAACATAAGTACACTATATTATCTAATACTAGTCAACAACCTACCCCTGACTTACTGACTTGAATCAATGAACTTGTTCTTGGTATAAATCGGCAATGGTTTGGTAAGAGGCGTGATTGGTCAGTGAGCGTCTGGGTGGTGTCCAGCCCATGAGCCTTGGTTTCTTCACAATTGCATTGCTTGGGCTTCCTTCCATCATGGCGGCTGAACCCAAGAGCAGCACCTCACAAGAACCAGAAGAAAACTGCAGCCCACTTTATGGCTCAGCCTCTTCAGTCTGTAGCATCCTTTACCCCTCAGTTGCAAATCTGTCCATATTCCAAGGAAAGTACAATCTATTATAGTTCATAAGATACGCAGATACGAAATGAGTATTTTACATCAGCAAGTTTGGCCTGCTAATTCTAGCATAAGACAGGGAAAATAATTATAATATATATCTACGCCAACATTTGCATTAGAAAGCCCAGAATATTACAAGAAATGGGTGTGCCTTAAGTGAAATGGAAAGGCAGATTTGGAGATATTAGTAAAAGCAAATTATTTTTATTTTATACCACTTTTTGTTTTTCATTTTTGAATCATGCGACCAGACAGCCATTCATAATCTCATGCTGTGTGTTTGTGTATACCCATTCAGGGACACTTAGAGAAGTCGCAAAACCTGCCTGTGCCACTGAGGTAGCAAGTCAGAGTTAGGAATTCAAGCTTGGTCTATCTCACTTTAAAACCTATTTTTTTTTTTTTTTTAATATGAATTTAGGACAGGGTATACAGGGTGTTCAGAGTCTCACTACATAGATTGGACTCATAGTGATTCTCCTGTTTTCAGCTTCCCAAGGGCTGGGATTACAGGTGCTTGCCACCACACCCAGTCTCAATCACTGTCTCAGTGTGCCCTGAGGGTGGGGCTGGTATGACAGGCCCTGGGATCAAACCCTTGGCCCCTGCATCTGTCTAAGCAGACACTTTAGTCTGCTGAGCTATCTAGCCAGTCCTCGATGAAACCTAATTCTTAAGCTGATGATTACTCTACTTCCCTATGTTGGTCAGACTCAATCCCCAGGTAGAGACAGCCCCTGAGACACTGCACATAGCCCCTCCTTCCTCACAGGGCAGCTACAGCCTACCGCTATTAGTCGCATTGGTGCAGCAAAATTTACTGACATAAACACTCACAGGAGATCACAAATGGAACCAAACAAGGCTTTTATTGGCATCAGGATGAGAATCAGGGAATGTCAAAGACCAGAGAATTCTGCAGTGAGTTTTTGTACATTTACAAGTAACCACGGTAGTCATATTACCTCATTTTGGAATTTTACAAAAATGTCACAAGGTTTACATTTGCCAGGGAGTTGCTAATAGGGTTAAATTTTAGCTTGCCTACAATTTAACTATTTACTCCTTAGATTGGGACTTGTTCTCCTTTGTGGGCTTTATGGTTCCCTAAGAGGAAAGGGGGTAAGGAGTGAATTTACACAATGTTTAAGTGACTTCTAGAATGAATTAAATAGAAAATGGAGTCTCTTTTACCCCATCTAGATGTCCATTCACTTTTCTTTAAAATGTACAACATAGATTGCTTTGACAATGTGATATTTTATTAGTTTCTCAAAGAGAAAAAATGATACCCAAGAAGCAGTTTTATGTGTCCAGGTATTTCAATAGCTCAATAAGATCTTCTCTTTAGAGTCTACATAAGAGAAATGCCTGCTTTGCCTTACTCATTTGGCTTGCCTAAAAATCCCATAATCCACAGCAAAGGCTCCTCTCACCACTATTTATTTTTCAGGGAAAACAAAAGGCAAATCATCTCAACATAATTAGAAACACTAGAAAAACTGAGCAGCACAAAAGCTTAGAATGTTAGGGATTTTCATCCAAATTTTTATCTCCCTCGAATTTCACCTACTGGTGTTCTGACAGTCTTCTTTTCTGCCCTTGATGGGTCGCAGCAACACTGTAAACTTGTCCTCCTAGATGGCGATACAGACTATGGCAAGAAATAAAATAAGTAAAAGTGGTGAACTGAACTTCCAGCCTTCCTTCTCGCCAGATCTCTGTCTCTATCCCCCTGCGTGCCGGTGAGCCGCAGTGAGCTCTCTGAAACAACTTTGTGCAGCAGAAAAGCTGCATTTGTTTCTATCGTGATGCGCTGTGCCAGACCACGTATGACTGTGTAGAGTGTGTCTGTGTCTTGTGTGCTTATGTGTGTGTCTATGAGTGTGTGTGTGTGAGCCCGGGCGCACATGCACATGCCAAGTACAGGCACCTGGCAGGGGCTGGGCAGGGGAAGCCACGGCCTTTCGAGCCTCGCATCTCAGCCTCACTGCTGAGAGTGACAATGTCCTGGTCATGCTCCCAGGCTCGCTTGGCAGCGCTGCACCTTGTTAACTGAATGAGCAGTGCCTGTCTCTACTGACTTAGAGAGGTGAGTGGTCACTGGAGTTACCGGACTTAAATCAGAGCTTTATCACCGCACAGTGGAAACAAACCAGTGCTTTAGTTACTAAAAAAAGGAGGAGAAAATTCTATTTCTGTGGTGACTGTATCTTAGATTAACCCAAGTTTTGCTTTAACTACTCCACCAGAAGAGAACCACATAGGAGGACTTAGTTGGCTGTGAAGCAGACAAACACAGGTCTGTGTGGAACTAGGTGGATTTTTGTGGGTAACATTAGTGTCTAACTTAGCTCATTTCTTTTAAAATTAAATGAAAATCCTATTGAAGAATTAAGAAACCGTATGTAGTAGAATTTTATCGTATTGATAAAAATAATTCCAGATATCTTGGAAGTCACACACATGTAAGTTACAGATCAAGTCTTTAAATAGCAAATATATTAATAAATGCACACAACAGGAAAAAAGTGTTGATCAATTTAAAAGAAATAAAGTGAGGGATCAGGTAGTATGATTTGACACTTACTACAAATCATAAGAAAGCAGTGGGGGTTCCTTACAACTAAAGAAACAAGCAGACATTTATTCTTCATAACATAAAATCCTATCACTTCTGTTATAAATGACCATTTAATCCATTCTTCTTGACCAAATCCAGAAATACTTGAAATTTGTTTACAAACTAATCATAATTTTTCCAGTTTTTGACTAGGACACTCCAAAGATATGCTGCATGTGATTGCAAGAATTTTTCTGGTAGAAAGCAAACAGAATTTATGATTTCAGCCTTGGAAGTGCTGCGGCTGGGAGGGTGCAGGCAGAAAGGGCAGAAGAACAGTGAGAGGTTTAGCAACAGGAACATGAGAGGGAATGCGGGGCACAGCGGGCGCTGCAAGAGCCGCCGTGTCTTGGAAATACCTTTGCAATGTTTTGCACTTCTGTTTTCTGCAATAATGCTTTACATGATATGTGGAACATGGAGACAATAAAACCAGAAGGCTCTCCTGACTAGGTGGCTCTAGGCAGCGTTGCTTCAGTTTGCATTCTTCAAGTGACCAGCGCC